GAGAGACAGCAGAGTGCACCATGAATAATATTATGAATCTAAACTACTAACTATAGCAACCAGGCTGGGATCCTACAGGTTAAAAACAAAATCCTTGAAAAGACATTTGTCTATCTTACAAAACCTTTGACAATATGGGTATTCACAACGGCCTAGACCCAAGGGATGCCTTTCAAAGCTATTATTCAAAATTAAAGCCCCTTTTAAAAATATTAGAAAATCAGAATTATATTCACACAAAACTCCAAAATGTCTCGCTACAATTTAATCATCATATCCAAAGGAAGCAGTTTACCAATCCAATCTGTTTATGTGTTTAACAGGACAACTAGTATCACCAACAGCTAGACCTTGCCAATATTTAGCAAGTCTACTACTCTGGCAGATCCTATAGAACAATCTCTAACAACGTGAAATTGATAACTAGGCAAATTTAATGACAATTACTACTGACTCATTCAAAATATAACAATTTTACTTATATAAATCAGTTAACTCTATTCATAAATCATTTATAACATCTCCATGGATTCAAGCAAGTCCTTAAAAACTTGACCAGCCGAATAAACAGTTTGATGGTCTAAATATAACTTCAATGTTTTTTCATGTCTGTAGTTTTATGAATGCATGAGAAGCTTAAAGTCTTAAATAATTTAATCTTTTATCTTTCATACAAGACTGAACTCCTTCAAGAAAAGGATTATTTTTCTTATGCTTAATCACAAAAACCATATTGAGTGCCTGCCTCTATCAGGTGTCATACATTTGTTGCCTTTACTTCTCCAAACAATCCTATGAAGTGAACCTTATAACTTCATAGACAACAGATTCTAAAAACCAGAGGTGTATACTCAAAGCCAGTGTGATCATCAAGTTATTTTTCGGCAAACACTTATTCAAATTTCCTTCTCATTGTAAACAAAGTGACTTGATATCACTAACTCGGGGTTTCTAAATCTCAGCACTACTGACATTTAAGGCCAGATAATTCTTTGTTGGGTAGCTGGAGGGGCACAGGGTTGACTAGCCTGTGTACTGCAGAATGTTTAACAGTATCTCTGGACTCTACCCAATAGATGCTGATAGTGCCCCCTCCCAAATTTAAACACCAAAAATACCCCTAGCCATTGCCAAATGTCCCCAGTGGTAAAACTGCCACCAGCTGAGAATCACTGGACTAACGAAAAAGAACAAGGGCAGAGGTCAGAGGTCTTATACACGCTTATACTATTTGACTTGAATCTAGCATTTCAGCGACCCGCAATAAGAACGTGCCCTAGCAGCCACTGCCCCCTTTACCCTGGGCCCAGCAGGAACATAGAGAAGATCTAAACCCTTCCACAGCTAGCCTCAATCAAGCTAGACTCCACCTTAATCAGTAGACCCTCAGCCAACATACAGACCCATGAGCACAGAAATAAATGCCTATTATTTTAAGTCACCAAGTTTTGGAGTGTTTTATCATGGAGCATTATTGTGGCAATTGCTGACAACTACAGCCAAAAATTAGATAAGCTAAAATTCCAAACCTAGGCCTATCTGACTCAAAAACCTACTGACTTTATTATATCAAAGAGTTATTTCAAATGAATTCGATATTCTTACCCAGGATGTGCTTGGTACACAGTAGATGCAATAGATGTCTGCTTTATTAATAAATATTAATTCTGTAAAAATTTTAATATATTTTCAATGGCCTACTCATAATAGCTTCCGATTCTCACATCATTAGGCCAAACTTCAAAAAGTTGGAAAGAGCACTATAGCACTGCTTCATTTCTCAGACCTTGAATTTAAGACTGTCTTCTCCTATTAGTTTCAGAGTGCTGCACAGCTAAATCCAAAATACTATCTCTAACACTGACTTCTGTAAGTAAGGTGCTATGTGCAAATGCAAAAGACAACAGGTTTAAAGAAAAAAAAAAATTTAACAACATTTGAAAGAATGAGTTTCACACAAACAAGCACAACAAATACTTAATGCGCATATACTATTTACCAGACGCTATTCTAAGCACTGGAAATACAGCACTGAAAGACAAAAAGATTTCCTGCCCTAATAGAGCTTACACTCTTGTAACACACAGTATAAAGACCTTTTCCAACTGCTTCACTCATATTTACTCTTTAGTCCTCATAATCTTGTGGGAGGTTTAATATCTCCATTACAGAAATGAGAAAACTAATAACCAGGAATGAAAAGTAATCTGCTTAAAGTCACAAAACTACACCACTTCCCAGCCTTTTTGGTTAAGATCAAGGTGTAGTACCAAAGTCACAAAACAAGCAGCAAAACTAGCTAGAAGTCTCAATCTGAGTTCCTACTTTTGACCACAGCATGATACTGCCCCTCTGCTAACTCTCTAACCTCACATCTTACAACACTTCCCAAGCACGTTCCTGCCTGAGTCAGCTGTACTTACTGTTCACTCTGCCTGGAATGTTTTTCTCTCAAATGGTTTTCATGCCTTCCTTCCATCATTCTGTTCCTGTCGCACCATTCCCATCATATTAGAAGAGATTTCTTTCCTGATTACCCTTAAAAATGAATACCTCCCTCCATGCACAGTCACTATTCATCTGTCTACCCCACTTTACGTTTCTCCATAAAACTGATTACAGCTATAGATCCATTTCTTGCTTGTCTTTGCCACTGAAATGTCCACTCCACGAGACCAGTGACATCATTTAGTTCATCACTTTACCACATTTAAGTCCTCCTGAAACGATGCCTGGCAAAATGACCAGATACATGATCACCTACCTGTTAGCCTGGCTGACCCTGCCCCCGCTTAGAAACAAAAAGTTTGTAAAGGAATGATTCTCATACTTCAGCATCCACTGGAATTATCTACAGGGCTTAACAGTCAGATTGCTAGGCCTCACCCTTACCCCTAAGTTTCTGATTCAGTAAGTATGGAAAGGGGCTTGAACATTTACAGTTCCCAATACTACGGTCCAAGGAGTGTGTTTTGAGAGTCACTGATCAAAACAAATGTCATGCTCCAACACACCTGTCAGCAACAGTCGTTCACTATGGCAAGAAGTCACAAGTAGAGGAGGAAGGAAAGGACTATAGTGAACAGGTGCCCTCTAGACTCAAGTCCTGACTTGGAAGACTGTATAAAACACATGTCTTTTAAGAATGCATAAATATCCCTTCCTTGAATAGGATTTCTTCTTTTAAGAAGAGATGGAACCAGACAGATTAACATATTCTCTATCACAGCCTTATGGTCTTGCATATTCTATGTTAATGCTCACTGCGGAAACATTATCCCTTAAGGTTTAAATAAACAAAACGGACAGTTGATATCATTTTGGGATAGTGAAAAACCTAACAGCAGTAGGCCCTAATTGGAACAAATCACAATTTCACATCTCTAGAAATAATCCTAATACCTAGGGTAGGCTCACAGTGGTCATGTCTAGGTAATGGTAGGTAACCTCACTTCCCTAGTTAAAAAGGCCCAAAACACATTCACTCTTCTAAGAATCTGAATTTAAAAGATAAATGCCTGGGAGGCACTGATACCAAGTTATGTCAGCAAGGCTCTCAATCCAGAAGTTCCATAAACTCTTGCTGCTCAATTCTCAGATGCCCTGGTTCCTAGCCTAACATGACATTTTGTTTTCCAGCTATTCTTTTAATCCTCTGTGTTACTCAATAATCTTCCAACAAACTCCTCTTTTACCTATATTATCCAAGACTATTTGTGTATTTGCAACCAAAAATACCTATAAAAAGAGTAAATGTATTTAACTTTTAAAACACAGTATCAGATCAAATTTTGCAAATTGTCATGAAACTGTAAAATACCTAAGCTTTTTCCTATTAATTCAACTTAAGACATTTATTTCTCATCTACACACTATTCTGTTCACATAACCAGTAAATCAGAGAATGTTTTATATTATACTCCTTTTTTCATCTGCTTTCATAAACATCCTGTGAAACTTAACAAAAAGCCACTATCTTTTCTTAGTTTATTTAACAGGTATTGCTACCTATTATATGCCAGTATCATGGGGGAATACAGTGTAGTGAATAACAAAAACAAGGTTCTTGTTTGATGTACACCTTACATTTTTTGGGGAGACAGAGAGAGAGAGAGAGAGAGAAAATCAGAAAAAAATGCCCGATTATAAGTGCTATTGCTAAGAAAAAAAAAAGACAATGTCAAACAGTGAGTAGCTAGATGGCTTTTAAATTAAATGATCAGGTGAAGCCTCTCTGAAGTGACATTTGAGCTAAATTCTTAATGACAAGAAGCAGCCAGCCAGTACAGATCAGAGTGCAAATAACTTATAAAAGTCCCTAAGACTGGGAGTAGACTTGACTTGCTCTAAAAGCCAAAAGAGGGCCAATGTGACTATAGTGTGGTAAAGTGGAGGGAAAATAATTTAAGATGAGGTCAGAGAAATAGAATGGATCATATCATATAGGGTTTTGTAACAAAAAGCAAAGAATCTGGATTTATTTAGAAATTAACAGATAGAGGACAAGGAGGCTATTCACAACAAGATGCTTATAGAGAGTAGTTGAACAATGGACTAAGATGGGGGGAAATCAGATTACAAACAGTGGTTTCAGTAAAAATTTTAGAGTTGAACGGAACCTTCTAGTCCAACACCTTCAGTTGACAGAAAGAATGCTGTGGTCCAAACTGTAGCTTCTTGAAGGTCAGATTAAAGATGAGCAGAGTTGTGCTTGGTGCTCTTTGGCAGTTAGGCCAAAGTGTTTTCCACAATTCCTCACCCCGTTTTGAAACCCAAAAGAGTATACCACGAGCATTTCCAAAGTGACATAGCAGCAATGAAATGGAAACAGTATTTATAAAAATATTTTTTAAATTATCCATGCCAAATTTTTCACACTTCAGTTGATGACTGACTTTTTAAAAAGTGGCTAATAATGCTTAAGTATTTACCACCAAATATACTCTTCCCAAAATACGTGAAGTAGAACAAAATTGAATAAAACAACAAAATATACTTACATCTGGGTATTCTTTTACAGGCACATAAAGTTTCTCTTGTAACTGAACAATAGGTCCCACAGCATCAGGCAATTCTGCACTCCTTTTCTCTGTACTGCCATTTAATGTGTCATTGTACATGTCTTTCCGTACTCTGCTAATTTCTGTTAAAAGTAAAAATTTTAAATGTGTTAGACAAAAAAAAATATTCTTGCTAGTCCAGGGGAAAAAAGAGAGGGCAGGGGAGGGTTTCATTGATAAAGTGTTAAAACTCAAATAAAGAGCTCCTGGCCTACTCTATTATTCTCCGGATTAATCAATCCCATGTTTAACAGGACTATAGCCTTAATTAATTTCTACCACAAACCAGTTTTTATATGAATCAAATACGTATCTTATTAACTTCAGAGCCCAAGCTCCTTCCTAACCAGTATAATATGGACTTGTTAGTTTTAATTTTTCCATGTCTAAATGAGGCCAGTCATTCTAATTGATAGCTTCGGTGAAACAACTGTAAGAATGCCTGTCACACAAAACTAATACCAAAGCCTCTTTTGTACTTCAGAATTAATCTGTCTGAAGGACATTTAAACTGGACCACTTCATTTGATTATTTTTAGGTATCTTTGGAATATCCAAACGGAGATGTTCAAAAGACAACAGACTGCAAGTTCAGCAGAAGTCTGAGTTTAGTACACAAATTTAATGGTTAAAACTATCAGAAGAGATGTTTTAGAGCAAGTAATGGGAGAAAGAAGGACAGAAAACACTTTAGAAAGAGCAAGGGGTAAGGAAAGAAAGATCTAAACCAAGAAGAAACAGAGGCAGGCAGGAGAACTAGAGAACAGAGATGTCACAAAAGCTAACAAGTGACAGATTCAAGGGTAGGTTGATCAATAGTATCCACTACTACAAAACAATGGTAAGATAAAGAGCAAAAGATGGTATCTTGGATTTAACCACTAAGCCATTGGTTTCAACGGTAAGATGGTAACAGATCAAACTACAATGGGTTAATGATCGAAATATTAAATGTAAAAAAAAAGTAGAGATACCTAAAATCAATGACCTGTTTTTAAAAGCCTGTATTACTGTTCTTAAGATATACACATCCTTCATTTTTTTTGAAGTAGAAGAATTCTATTTTAATGAGTTGAGTCCTATAAAGAAAACTGATTCTTTCAAAAATTTTTAAGCTTCCAGTATGCTCTACAAGACAGACTCCTGTTCATTGGAACATACTGCCTAATAAGGGTTGTCATTATTCAGATTAGCCAGATGCCTCTGTAATGTCTCTCTAGGCTATAGTTTGTGTCCTCCTTGGAAGAAAGGCTTGCATCCATTAGTATTTAAAAATAAAACATCTTTTCTTTTTAAAATGTATTTTGTATGGTTTCCAAACATGAATTTCAATCTATTGATAACTCCTAAGAAACTATCAAATATGAATGTACTTTTTAATTTTTCTAACTAGTTATTTAAATCAGTTTCAGTTAAACAAAATACAACACAGCAAAAAGGCAGGATCAAAGGTACTCTTAGCTATAAAAATCTTAATCAATTAAAAAAGACACTGTAATACATTTTGTGCTTCAGTGATACCAATACTCATTTTATTACAAATTTTATCTCTTAAATAACAATTTGCTTGTCAAAGCTTACCAAATGTTTTCTCTGAATAGCAAATGAAATCAACAAAAATCAAGAGATTACCTTGGATTTGACTACATAAGGGCAGAATTTTATTCTTTCTTAAGGTTCTTTTTATACTTCTAGCTTTATAATTAAATCCTTCCTAACAATGTCCAGTATCAAATTAGTGTTTATCTTAAATTGGCATATGACAGCAATTCTCAAATCAAGCTTTCAACAACCAAGTAATAATTTAAACACAAATGCTCGTTTAGATCATTTACACAATTACAGCAAGTAATTAACCAAGAGGCACTAGAAAAATTTAATTCTAATTTAAATCACACATATATCCTTTAGCCTGGACTAAAAAAGCACTTTCTATATAATAATTACTTAAATTTCTTCTTCAGAAACTACCTAGTCTTACTGTATAGTTAGCACCACACTAATATCAGAGCCTCAGAACAGCATAAAATAAAACTATATATAAAATTTGCTTAAAAATATAGATGCAAACATCTGAAACAGAAAAAAAGAAAAATGAACTAAGACATGGTAAAATTAGTTCAATATTGAAAAATCTTCTACAAGTAACCATAGTAATGTAATAAATCTGGGGGGGGGGGTGGGAATAGTGATTTTGCAGGTAAACAAATGTATCAAATTTAGGGGAAAAAAATCTATTGCAAGTTATCAGAAAATTCAGATGACTAGATTAAAAAATGTACAGAGGCCAGGAGCAGTGGCTCACATCTGTAATCCCAGCACTTTGGGAGGCCGAGACAGGCAGATCACAAGGTCAGGAGATCAAGATCATCCTGGCTAACATGGTGAAACCCTGTCTCTACTAAAAATACAAAAAATTAGCTGGGCGTGGTGGCATGCGCCTGTAGTCCCTCAGGAGGCTGAGGCAGAAGAATCGCTTGAACACGAGTGAGCAAAGATCATGCCACTGCACTCCAGCCTGGATGACAGAGTGAGACTCCATCTGAAAAGAATTTTTAAAAAAACCACGCTTCATATATAAGCATCTATCTAGTTAGAGGATACAATGCATTTACCACTGAAGTTGTATTTTCATTAACATCTATGTGATTCTTGGATTAGTAACACAAACTTGCATGAGATTTTATTAACCAGTGTGTCCCCAAGTCCTTGAACAGTACCTGGAACACAGCTGACCCTCAATAAATATTTGGTGGGGGTAAACAAAGGGAATAAAGAGCTAGGTTTCTAGAGCATGAAAGTTAAACAAGTCATGGTTCCAGCTCTCAGAGAATTTACTCTAATAAGGAAGATAGATAAGAAGTCTTTGTACCATGATTTTTTTCAGTCTCATAAGATGTATCACTCAATTTCATAACAGAACACAAATTAACATATAAGATAATAATGATGGAAATCAAAAGATGACTAAGACATAGTTCCGGTCCTCAAGGACTTTACAATCTTATTCACTGTTGAATTTGACCAACTGTGTACTATCTTTATTATAAATAGGGGGAAAAAAAATCATCACTTCCTGGAGTGTTACTCAAAACACTCAAGTCAGAACAAGTTCTGATTGCAGTTCTAATAGTAACTCTGTGATTTTAGACAAATCTGTTTCTTCCAATCTTACTGTGCCTGTGGTTCGTGTACTTACTGAATTAATGAACTGAATCCACTTGTTTCCAATCTTAGTATGCAAGAGCCCCATTTATTCTTTTTCTCCACAATCCTATTTTTTAAAGTTTTGTTTTTAAAACTTTCCATTCCGTAAGTCCTGGCAATCAGAGCTTCTTGGAATGTTACCGTAGCAAGAGTTTATGATTATAGCCAAATTACTATAGAAACATGCAGTGAGTATGGGTTTGGGAAATGCTTTCGTCCTTTTGTAAGGAGTAGCTTCACAGGCGTTCATTCACAAAATGAGGACTGCTTCATAACTAATGCTGTAGACTCTATTAATATTTGACACAGCATTCCTGTGCTTCATAACTAATGTCATATACACTATTTTGCTGTATTAAACATTATTCTGCTGTATCAAACATTACAATGCTCAAATGCCCCCCCCACCACCACACTACTTCATCAACCTGCAGCAGTTGTTCAGAGAACTAAAGGTTCAGAACCATTTGCTTAATCACACATAGTACAAAAATTCTCCCAACATGAACCCCAGGCATGTATCTTCTGTCTAAATATCCCCAATACCAAGAGAAATTGTTTTAGACATCTCTGAAGATATGAAATATTATAAATTTGTTTTAATAAACCAAAATCTGCTCTCCTAAAATTTCTACCACTGGCCACCACTCAGAAGCCCCACAACACATTTGAAAAATTCTAAAATATCTATCTAAGTGTCCTCTTCCCTAAACCAGTGACATGGTTTTATACCCTCCCACTTGTTTAGACGCACTCTCATTTGTCTAGACCCCTTTTAATATGTAAAACCCTATACCGTATACAATATTCCATAATGATCAATGGGTAAGCCAACTGAAGCTATCAACCTCTAGTTCCAAACCCTGGACTCTCCATAATCACTGTTTAGGAGTTGATGTTTTTATCTTTACTTTCTTAGCAAACACAGCACACTGTTGACATTTTGCTGATGATGGTGCTAAGACAAGTCTCCACCATTCCATAATTCTACAACTGTTTGTTTAGACATCAACAGAAGATTTCAAATTTTTTTTCCTGCTTATTTTCTGCTACACATATCCCTTCAGCAGACTGTTATTAATCTGTCAGCTGATATTCCTTAAGGATGAATAGTCTCTGAGTCAAGAATCCAACTAACTGCAATTTTACAGAGCACACATTTCTTTGGCCCAGATACCAAAACACAGGCATATCTTTTATTAACTACCTGATGAAATCTCAAGCTGCAATGGGACCGGAACCTCCCTCTGGAGCCACCAGTTTAAATAGGAAATCATCTGTTTTGGAATCTACAGGCTGTATCATCAAGTTCAGAATAGGAATTTTTCAGCTTTGGGGAGTATTTACCTTTACAGCATTTAGGTTCCTCCCATTTTTTTTTTTTTTTTCAAATTTCAGTATGCTGAAAATTATTTTTTGTTTAGGCCTGAAAACTCATTACTATTTCTTGTCTCATCACATTTCTCTGCTCTAATTATCTTGATTTTTTTTTTTCTTTTCCAAACTAAGGCACAACTATCAGTTAATTCTGCTCCATCACTGCATAGCACTGTTGTATATGACCTGCTAATATCATACAGTCTACCTTATTCCTTTTCCTCTCCCCTTAATTCACTCAACTATGGATTTCACTAAAAGGTTTTAAAGTCATTCTTAAGTTTCATAAGCCTCAGCTCATTTTTGTCTTTCGCTTTTCCGCTACCATCACTCTTTTACTGTAACCAAATTATTGTATGTATACTCTGCCACTTTTCAATTTTGTACACATTCTTTTAAAATCTGAATTACTGGACTGGGTATGGTAGCTCACACCTGTAATCCCAGCACTTTGGGAGGCCGAGGCAGGCAGATCACTTCAAGTCAGGAGTTTGAGACC